CAGCCTGGCTGGGGAATTCTGGGAGTTGAAGTCCACCCATCTTAAAGTTTGAAAAAGGAATTGTGTTTACACAGCACACTCAGCATGGAATGAACCCATTTTCTGTGCTTCTGCAGCTGTCGGAGGCCTGGTTAAAGTTATCCAATGGGGAATGCAATTCCTTCATCTTTCAATTAAAGTTTAGGTTAAGATCAGGTTAAGTCTATTGTCTGAACCCAGCCGTACATTTACACGATGCATCCTCAGCCTAGCCCCCTCCACATTTGCAGCACTTCTCAGTCATCCTCCCTCCCCAATTTTTCTCTCCACTCCTTAACTGTTGTAGAGCTGGTTCATAGTGTGATAATTGTGCCCCAAACTCACTTTAACGTGTGCTTTAAGCCAAAGCAAATGGGGTTTCAAGCCACCCTGACTATCCGGATTTGCCAGCCAAGATTTCAAAAATGGAGCCTCCAGGTTTCAGGGCAAGCTACCTTTGAGAATGCCAGGAAGATAAAATGGCAGGACCTTGTTGGTGAGACCCCAGAAGTGCCTGCTGGGTGTTTGGTAGAAGATGGATTAAAGAATGAAACGGACTTTGGTTAGGTCCAGCAAAGTGATTCTTCCTGGTTTAGCATCTTCCAACTTCTTTTTGCATTGAGCCTTCTCCTTTCAGTTACCTTGAGAGAAGAAATCTCCCCCCCCAAAATGCTCCACTTTTGCAAATCATAATGAGAAAATAACAGCAGTCGCTCTGGGATGGGTGTCTAATGCGTGCCCGCGTGTATCTCTTCTTCCTGACCGCCTTTAGCCAGACAGAAACATTATACGAGAGCCCCTGAAGGAGGGGGAAATGATTAAAAAAACGATGCAAAAGAGAACCCCTCTTTTTGTCTTGAAAAGGCGCGCAGCGAAGGCCGTCGATATAAAAGGCGACGTTCGATCGAGGAACATGTTGCGGAAACTGACAGCCCCCTTGGGGAACTCATCTGTCAAGAAGATTTCGCAAGAGTTGCGTTTCTGCGTGTGGTCTGAGAGAGGCCCTTTGGGCTCGTAGTCTCGTGGGCAAGTGCCAGCCCGCTTCCCACCCTGTTGGCTAACCTGTGATTCACCAGCCGGAAACGGGCCACCTCCCCGGGAATTGGGTGGAGAGATGTGGCCCGGTGTGAGCAAAAGATTCAGCGCTGCGGGAGGAGAAGGCAGAGAAACGGGTCACCGTCGCCCCTCTGAAACATTGGGGGGGGGGCCTGGCTCGCCCCACACGCTCCGCCACTTAGCGTGGCCTTCCCGGCTTTAGCCGAGAAAGTTGGCTTAATCTAATAAACCAGTAATTGGGTTACTGAGGAAGAAGAGGGTTGTGCTAGGCTGGAGAAAGGCGGCCTGATGCATTTAAAATAAAATAAAAAATCATATTGAAGCTAAGGGTTACAGAAAAAAACCCCCGAGAAGGCCCCAAACAGGCTGAAATGTAGGCTGTGTATTAGAATCCAGTCTGCTGAAGCCAAAATGCCAACAGTGGGGAGTCAGGTAGCCTCTAAATCCAGTAAAGTTGATTGATGAATTAATTAAGGTCGCCGTAAAGATTGAAAATGGCTGTGGTAGCTTGGGAAATTGTCAGGGAGACGGAGATTGATTGATTGATTGATTCTTTTAGTTTATATGCCGAGCTAGTAGGCCACTCTAATCAGAATCGCTCTAATCTGAGTGGCACGAATGTCAGGTGTATTGGACTATTGTTAGTTATTATTATTATTATTTGAACTGCGATTAGGGAAGATCAGTTCCTTCAATGGTTCACGAGGCTTGTACGAGATCTCAGGTGCTTGTTTTGGGGTTGTTTTTAAGGAAACTTTGTTGCCCCTACTCTTTTGCAAAAATATTTTCCCTTGCTTGGCCCTCCTCTCGTGCGTAAACAAAAACGTTGCTTTTAAAAAAAGAAACAGATAGGTTTGGCTCGCGGTCCCCTGAACGCGGATCGGGGTCCCTGCAAGAGTTACCAAATTGAAAAAGAAGGCTGGGTCCGATTAACCCTTGCCAAGGTTCAAACAGAGGTGCTCAGAGATGATCCTGCGCTGAAAATTGGGTTGGGCTGCATGACCTCTAACTGCCCTTCCCATGCTATGATCCCATACATGGATCCCGTTTGGATTTATTCTTGGATAAATGTCAGGCTTGGATAAAAACTCTGGATTTCTGATTCCTCGTTGGCAGAATTGCACTCTTGGCTTAACGCGCGCATTTTTGTCTCGTTTCCCAATAGCAAACTTAACTGGGCACGATGAGGAGAAAGTGGGGATGGAAAATTTTGAACTGCTGAAGGTTCTGGGCACTGGAGGTGAGTGCAAAGCAAGTTGAGAAAGGTTTTCCCAAACAACCCTCCCGCTCTTGGCTTCGCTCTGCCTAATGAGAGAGCCGTCCCCAACGAAAAAGCGTTGAGGATCTTGCAATTGCTGCTATTTTGCACTCTGTTTCAAGGGGGGGCGGGATGAAAAGCAGAGCACGTGCTTGGAAAAGCCGCGGAGTGAAATAAATAATATTTCTGCCAGCCTCGGAAGAGTTGAAGGGGCTCTGGATAGAGAAGGCAAAGTGTAGAAAGGAAGGACCGGGTGACGTCAGCCCAGTCCTTGTTTCTCCACCCAACCAACCTGGCAGGACTGTTGTGGGGTTAACTATAGAGGGCTGTCGCCTTTTGTTCCTGGAAGAAAGGTTGGGTATTGGTCAGAAATAAATCAGGGGATAAATATCAGTGAGTTCAGTCTCCTGACCGCCTGGCTTCTGCGCTTCAGCCTACGGGAAGGTGTTCCTGGTCCGTAAACTCACCGGCCACGATGCCAACAAGCTTTACGCCATGAAAGTGCTCCGCAAAGCCGCCATCGTCGCCAAAGCCAAGACGACGGAGCACACGCGCACGGAGCGGACCGTGCTGGAACACATACGCCAGTCCCCTTTCCTTGTGACGCTGCATTACGCCTTCCAGACGGATTCCAAGCTCCATCTGATTCTCGGTAGGATGGGAGGATTGGGGCAGGAGAAGGAATGGAGGCCGGGGTGGGGGGAAATAACAGAAGCAGGGACTTCCAGCTGCCGGAAAGGGTATATTGCTTTCTGGACCTGCCATCCCAAAATGTACAGATGCTTTGAAGAAAGAAGCATTGAAAAGCCGTGCGTGGCCCTTGGACCCCAGGGAGATCTCCCTGATGGGTTGACAACCAAACACAGGCCCTCTTAAACCTCCCACAGCTTCCTCCCACCTTCTCTTGAGTGAATCTCCTCTTGTTCGCCCCAGTAATGAGTAGCGGAACCTCCATGTCCCAAGGCAGTCTATCTTTACCTGTCAATTGCTGGGAGGAGCGAGGGCTCCTGGTGGTGGGACGTCCCCTAGATTTGAGGAGCAGGATGCTGGATGAAAAGGGTCTGGAGTTATATTCTGATTCAGTCGGGCCTGGAACAGGCTGCAAATTCAGGATGGTGAGATGCAGTCTGTCTGCCCACCTGTGAATGATAAATGAGTACTCCTAGCTTGCATTAAGGTGATGCTGAACATTATGTGTGTGTGATACACCCTGAGTTAGGTTATAGATTTTCCTGTGGATAGAATTCAGGTAGAGTCGCAACCGTAATGGTGACTATGCAGACATTTTCAGTTTTACGGAATTCACCTTCTTCAACATCCTTGGATATGTTGGGCTTTGACTGGAGTCCCCCAGTCAGTTGAATGCCACACATCTGGCAGGCCCACGTTTGGGAAAAGTTGATGTGGCCACTAGAATCATAGGAGACATAATGGCCACCATTCCTGCTTTTTTCCCTGCAGCCATGAGGACTAGAAGCTTAACATGGATGGCAATTTTTCAAAATGTTGGAATTCTAGGCTTCCTGCTGAAAAATGTTAGATTCACACCACATTGATTTGACAGGGAAAGACATGGGAAGAAAACTGGGGATGAGTATAAAAGCATTGCTGTAAGCAGGATATAAAAAGACCCTTGGGGATTACTGAGCGAAGGGGCCAGAAGGAAAACTTCTTGTCAGCCCTGCGGATCCAAACTGAACCTCTCAACTGCTTTCTTCCTAGATTATGTGAGCGGAGGTGAGCTGTTCACTCACTTGTACCAAAGGGATCATTTCTCAGAGGACGAAGTACGATTTTACAGTGGTGAGATCATTCTGGCGCTCGAACACCTGCACAAGGTGAGAACGAGGGGGGAACCCGGCAAAGCTCAATTTTTCCACGGTAAAAGCCGCAGGATGTGTTGGCCGCCAGGTTTCTCAGTCGGGGAAAGCAAGAGTGCCTCTGAGGCAGTGCCAAATGCACGGTGGGATCTACGGCTCGGTTGTGCTGTAAAATCCCCGTGCCCAATTTCACCAAGATGGAGGATTGAAACCTACTGTACCAAACGAATGTCTGGCCAGTGACCTTACCCACCCCTGCTCCCGTAGTTATTTTTGCACTGCATCGATTCATTCGACCCAGCATTCCCTGCCAAGAATGCCCAGGGGCAGGGAATGCTGGGTAGGATGCCCGCGAGACACCGAAGTTGCATGCTCCAAGATGCAGCTGTTAAAATCTTAGGGATTATTTTGGCGGCTGGGCTTGTTGGATTACAAAGTGGTCCCCGTTCTCATTCCTCAGCTTGGCATCATTTATCGGGACTTGAAGCTGGAAAACATCTTGCTGGACAGCGAGGGTCACGTGGTGCTGACCGACTTCGGCCTGAGCAAGGAATTTGTGATGGAGGACGTGAGTTTGGCTTTTGAGAAACGTGCCCTTCTCCCCACAACAGGCTTGTTGGTTGTCTGGCTCAGGGGTAGAACTCAGACTGGGGTTTAGACAGAACTGGGTAGAAATGATTGTGTGTGTGTGTGTGTGTGTGTGAGTGAGTGAGTGAGTGAGTGAGTGAGTGAGACTCTTTGGAGGGGAGACCAGCACTCCTTGGAGAATCAGCTCCAGTGAGTAAAGACCAGTTTTTCCCAACAATCTTGATGCCTTCTGGATGTGTGGACTTCAATTCCCAGAATTCCCCAGTTAGCAGGCTGAGAATTCTGGGAGCTGGTGTTTATCCTTCTGAAGGGCATCCAAGATGGGCAGACTTCTGTAGACAGTTGGCTTAGGGTGGATAGGCCCTAAGATTTTCCTTGTGCAGAAAGGAATTCTGGGAGTTGCTGTTTGGGGTCTCCCATAATGCACCAATGGTCTCTTTAGGGCAGGGTTCCTCATCTGCAGCAACTTTAAGATGGGTGGACTTCAACTCCCAGAATTCCCCAGCCAGCATGGGAGTTGAAGCCCACCCATCTTGAAGTTGCTGGGGTTGAGGAACCCTGCTTTAGGGCATCGAGGATAGTGAAATTAAGGTTGGCAGTTTTGCATCAAAACTTTAGATTAAAAACAATATCCTAATGATTTTGGATTCTAGTAATTAAACACGCTTGTTTTGTATATATGGATTTCTCCTGACTGGTTGACTGAAGTCTATTTATTCCTTTCCCTCTTAGAATTTCCCCCTCCAGATATTTTGGATGAGAGCTCCCAACATCTCCCATAATTTGTCCCAGGGTAGCAGGGAAGGATGGGAGTCATTGTCCAAAATATTGGGAAGGTCCCAGATTGGGTTCCCCTGTCCTTAGCAAACCACTGTTCCTCTGATTGCCTTTTACAGGGGTAAAGGAATCCCTTGTTAAAATTGCATGTGTGAATCTGTTTAGTTGGCATTCCTCGACTCAGCCGCTGCGGGAAACAAGATCTTACTAATGGGCTTTCAATCTCGCTTTTCTTCTGCTCGGTTTGGCTATCATAAATAGGAATGGAGCTTCCAGCTTCCAAGGCAGTTTACCTCTAAATTTCAGTTCCTGGAAGCAAGGATCAGTAACAGCCCTTGCCAGTTGCAGTTATCCCAGAATGTTGGACTAGATAATCCTTGGTTTTGATCTGGTTGCTTGTTTCTTCTCTTCTTCCGGACTTCCAGTTGCATGAAAACAGCAGCTTGTTTGAAAAGTTGGCAGCCTTGGGAAAGATATGCCTCATTACTGATTTGAACCTTCCTTCCTTCCTTCCTTCCTTCCTTTCCTTTCCTTTCCTTTCCTTTCCTTTCCTTTCCTTTCCTTTCCTTTCCTTTCCTTTCCTTTCCTTTCCCTTGCCACAGAAAGAACGGACCTTCTCGTTTTGCGGTACCATCGAATACATGGCTCCCGAGATTGTACGCAGCAAAAGCGGGCACGGCAAGGTGAGGGGGTTGGCACAGTCCGCGACGGGCCAGAGCTGTGGGCAGAGGAGGCCAAAGCCGGGATGAAATGCAGACACAGAAGGCAGTTTTCTCAAGGATGAAAAATGGAGGTGGCATTTGTTGTCTGCACAAAAGCTTTTGCTAAAGCGATTTCTAGGAGAGGGGGAGACATCTCGGGGAGGGGATGGAGGAAGGAAAGGGAAGAGGAGTGTTGTATTGGTCTGGTCCTGGTTGAGCTGCATCTTTTCTTGCAGTCTGTGGACTGGTGGAGTTTGGGTATCCTGGTGTTTGAGCTACTGACTGGCGCGTCTCCCTTCACCCTTGAAGGGGAGAAGAACTCCCAGGCGGAGGTCTCCAGGTGAGATGGGCAGAATCTGGACGGGCAGGGTTGGGGAGAAGGAGCGAGGAGGACGGAGCTTGGCTCAGGTGGTGGAAGATGGGATATTAGGGGCAGGATCAACCCAGACATGGGGGTGATGGAAGGGGAGGGAGCCAGTGAACTCAACGGACATAACGTGATTGGGAAAAAAAATCCAAGCAGAGGGCATCAAAAAAATAAAAGACTGGCATTTTAATGACTCCTTGCTGGCCAAAAACAGGCCAGCTGCTGGTCTGTTCTCAGTCAGTGACTGGCAGTTACCAGCAGAAAACAAGCCAGTGGGCTGGCCTGTTTTTTGCTGGCAAGCAAGGCAGAAGAGGTGCCTTCACTATGGCTGAGCGTGTGCAGCAGCAGCCGTACACAAGCCCTGCCACCCCACGGTGGCATTGCAACTTGGGCAGGAAGAAGAGGGGCCTGCGCCATGACGTCATGCCATAACTTGCCCCACTTCACTGGGGACAAGCAGGACCAGAGGAACGGGCAGGAGAAGGCAGATCACGAGCTGAAAGGGGTGGGCAGAGGGAGAACATGGCCGTTTCCAAACCAGGTAGTCAAGGTCGCCGTCTCTTTTCGATGGGGTTCAACCCAGTTGGATTTGGACCGTGGGACCCAGCCCTTGCAGGCCTTCTCTTCCCTTAATTTCTCTGCATGGCCCGGATGGAGGGCCGTGGGGGACGTTTTATAGACCGCCAGATGAGTTTTTCCCGCTCTGTCTGACTTCTAGACGGATCCTGAAGTGCAGCCCGCCTTTTCCATCGCTCATTGGCCCCGAGGCTCGCGATCTGCTCCAGAAGCTCTTGTGCAAGGATCCCAAGAAACGTTTGGGGTCTGGCCCGATGGGAGCCCAGGAGATCAAAGAGCACCCCTTTTTCAGGGTAAGGTTTGACTCCTCCTGTCGAGACTTCGAGCAGAGTTCGTTCCTGAAAAGCATTTCACTTCTGCTTCCCTTTCCAGAGGATCCCGGGCACACGGATTTGAACCCCTGATTGCCATTGCGCGAGACCTGATTTTGTTGTGTTGTGTGTTCCCAACCAAGTTGAGAAACAGTGGGTTAGCGGAACGAGATTGGGGAGGGAGAACGCAAGAATTATTCCCTCTTGAACGAAAAAATAGGGGCTTACAAACACCCAGAAAGATCAAATGTAAAGCAAGTGGGTGGTACTCATCTGAACATAAAGGGTTGCATTCACCCATCACGGTAAACATGGTTGGTTTTAACCACGTTTTGGGGTCTGAGAAAACAAACGGCGTCACTGTAGCTTGTTTTTCTCAATTCCTGGTTCGGTTACCCTCCCGTTTGGTTGTTCGTGTCTTGGGCGTTAGTGTGGACGTCAGAGGTCTGGATAGGCCACAGAAGTTGGTCTAACCAACGAGATCGGGCATCCTGAATCCTTTTAAGTTACAACTGCAATGGCCGCGCTGGCCAGGGAGAATGGGACTTGTTGTCCCATACGTTTGCACACTTTCTTTTGTAGAAAGCAGGCCAAATTTGGACAAGGGTTGACACGAGAGAGGTGGATAAGCTGGTTTGGCTCGGCAGTCTAGCTGTGTCTTCCTTCCCCCTGATATTTTTCTCTCCCCAGAGCCTGGACTGGGTCGAATTAGCAACGCGCCGGCTGAAGCCGCCGTTTAAACCGCTCATTCGCCACGAGCTGGACGTGCGAAACTTTGCAGAGGAATTTACCAGCTTGGAGCCCATTTATTCTCCAGCCGGGACCCCTCCCAGCCTAGACCGTGTCTTCCAGGTGAGCCCCCGAAATGGGGGAGCTGTATGCCGGGTTGCCATAGGGGTAGGGGAAAAGGCCCCAATCCCAGAGCAGGCACCATGGGAAATGTAGTTCAAGGTAGTCAAATTAAAATTAATCAGTCAAAACAGAATTCCAAGTGTTAGTTCACTGCTTTGGGTTTCTCTACACAGTGTTTCTCAACCTTAGCAACTTTAAGATGGGTGGACTACAACTCCCAGAATTCCCCAGCCAGCATGGGAATTCTGGGAGTTGAAGTCCACACCTTTTCAAGTTGCCAAGGTTGAGGAACACTGCTCTACACACTCAAATTTCCTGGGCAAAGGGCTACAGATAATTGGGGGTGGTGGTAATTAAATGAATATAGGCCGCCGGGAAAAGAAAAGAGCTCTGAGAAGAAAAGAGATTTGAAAGAGATCTTTCTGAGTTGTAGAAAAGGCCCAGAAAGTTGTGGTTTTGCTTTTGGGCAGAACTTTTCCTTTCCTGAACTAATCATTTCAGGAAGCGTCTTGCACAAACTTCCTCATCGGCGAAGACGGTGGGGCAGAACGAAAGCGCTTTTCTCATCTTTGAGGACTCTGTCCAGATTTTTGCTCGCCGCCCTTTTTGGGCTGCAAGTTTCAGACTCTTCTTTCAAACTTCCTCCTTTGCCTTAGCAGCTGGCCAGCTACAGCACGTCGTTCTCTTGCAGCTGTGCCCAGATGTCGAGGACTCTTGGGGTGAAATGACACCGCAAGGACTGGGTTCTCTTGATGTTCCAAGAATAGATGTTTGTTGGATCACTTTCCACTTGGGAATGCCAATATGTGTCCTCTGCAGCTTTTCAAAGCAGCTGCATTAAAATGAACGTTGAAACTTGTAAAGGCTGCACTCTCACGGCTGTCGAAAGCCGTTCTGAAAGCCGTTTCTTCCCATTCTGGCGGGCCTCCCCGGAGTGGCTGCCGGTGTTTGCCCTGGCTGAGGATGATGGGAGTTGTCTCCCTCAACAGGATAGGGAAGGTTCTCATAGCTATTACCAGTGCATTAAGGCAGATTTATTTCCCTTTCTTCCAGTGGAGGAGGAAGAGAAAGAGCGCGCAAACTTCAAACGAAGACGTGTTCTTTTCTTCTCTTTTTGTCTTTCTGAAATTAAAAATGGTGGCACCCCAGAACAGCAGGTTTTCGTGAAGTTTGGGGATGTGTAAATGTGTGAGAAATGAAAAGAACTGATTTGATGATTCACCCAATGAAAGGGAAGTGGGTTATAGTTGAAAAGTTTGGGGTGTTTTTTTCCCCTCCCTTTGGTTTATTGGAGGGGGTGCCCTCCTTGACTGTTTGGCATCCGAAGAATGTTGGTTATTCGGCGGGTCAGAAAAATAAATACAGTGGAACCTCGAGTTACGAATTTAATCCGTTCCGTGACTCTGGTTGCAACTCA